GACCATCTTTTTATATATGGACTAAACTGCTGCCTGGTAAACCGTAAAACAGGGAATGACTAAGTGAAATAATTAAGTTCTTCAAATTTCGGTCTAATTGGTGTGACGAAATTTCGCTTAGCGGTCATGTTTGGTCGGTGGCTTGTGAAGACTAGTGGAAGATGTGCGTCAGACGGCCTAAAATACATCCGGCGCGTTCAATCAGATCACTGGAATCGCTCTCCGCTGCGTTGCTCAGAATCAGGCGTCATTCAGGCAGGCATATGGCGAGAGCTCTGACAGAGGCGTGGTCTTGGGCTTTGCTATTATGTGAGCGTGTGTCCGGGAATTATCACGTCAGAATACTGTTACGAAAATGGCCCTGCCATCGATCCGTTTAATCTGATTACTTTCGAAACAATTCACTCTGGTCATCCACGTGCGCGTCGCCGCATCTTTGCCGCTCGTGCGGCAGCGCCAACGGTCTCTGGCAGGGTGTATCAGTACTGGTACGATTACGAAATCCGCATGCACTAGCTCCATATGCCTGTTGTGTAATCAATGTCTAAGCACCAAGTAAGTCACCGAGGTATGCCCCAAGTGACGGAGCTTGACTGACTTGGTGAGCGTTGTTTACTGTAAAGATAATAGTAGCCTGTTCGGAAAGTAATTTCGCGGTATGGGCAAGTTGTAAAAACGAATTTACACAAGGTTTATCTAAACAGTTTTAATCAAGAATGTCGTCATCGTCGTTTTCGATAACATCAACACAACGTGAAGGTAATTTTTTGATGTCATGTTTTGTCCCACACAAGATGCTTTAATGATGGGAACGGACTGAAACTCGTTGGTGCTTATTTGAACGAGCATAAAGTATTTAGAGAAATCGGCTATCCTAATGATTTAAATTCTTCCTTGTCTAAACTCGTGTGGAACAAGAATTCCGTCTTCGCAAGTATTTTTTTCAATTTCCTTGATATGCTGACGAATAGTTGGACATGAGACGAAGATTTTTGCGAGTAACCTCTGGTGTTTTGACATTGATACAACTTAGCAGTCTCATTCGAAAACTCGTCCTTCAGAGTGGTTCACCTTGCAGGGCGAAGTTTGTCGGATATGTTGCAATCGATATCTTTCACTTTCTAAACCCCGGTTGACGTGCACGATTTTCAACCGCATCGAGATACACTTCACAAATAGTTCCATTGCTTCAGTGGCAGGGTCCTCGCTGCGAAGTGCCTGGAGTAAGTAACGGAGAATATTTTGTTTCAAAATTCGTCTCCTCGATAGAGGACAAAACACAGTCGAATGGAAGGAATGGCGACCAGTGAAAGCAAGCAATGACATGTTTACAAACTGGCAAGTCTCCGCTTAATCAATGGCTAGTCAGTGGCCACTAGGAGTCCAATCATCCAATGAAACCTGGCATGCGCGGGGTGTTATGTATGCAAAACAGAAGGTTAATTAGAAATTGGACATGTAATGAGTACGATAGACAGCACAAGTCAGGAGGCTTGTCTAAGCGGCCGGGTATATGGCAAGGGGGACTGCCATAGGCTGATGGATGTCCAATCAGCACAAAGAAGGTGTAAACAGGGGCCATGACCTTGATCGTTCGCTTGTCACGCGTTATTGGCATGATGTCCCGACGGCCTGGGCAGGATACGCTGCATCCCTCCACCCTAAAGTGGAGAGCATGATGAGGAGTGGGGGGGGGGCAGTAAAGGTAATAATGGATATTCAGACAATTTTTGAATAAGATTCGTCCTGAAAGCGTTGGATAGGTTTGCGGATTCGTGTAGATCTTCTCAGGGTGGTATGTTCTACCTCCGCGCCGCGTTGTGCAGTCACTGGCTGCTCTGCCCCTAAGCTAGAGCTGGCCGGGGTAGAAGGAGGTGGAACATACGCCTTCGTCGGTGGTGTAGTGCTCTGTACAGGCAGTAGGTGTTCAGTCCTCGGGATGTCAGGATCCCTATCAAGGGTTGCTGGCAGTTCGAACTTTCTGAATTCCCCACTTGCTGTACCCGTTCGGCTGCGAACTTGGTCCAGATGTCGACTCACAATTCTCCCATCTAATTCTAATTCAACGATTTGCCGCACGCTTGCTCGACTCGTGGTCGGGTGTTCACATCATATCGTTCTTTCATCTTCGTCTGTTTTGCAATGACTTTATTCTGCGTAGATGGATTAAGCAGCTCAAGTCGAGTGCGAAACTGCCGCTTGAACATCAACTCTGCAGGCGAGGCACCGGTTGAGTCGTTCGGTGTTATGCGATAGCTGAACAGAAAGCGTGACAACTTGGTGGCCAAGTGCGCTTCCGTCTGTCTGGTTAGTACGTGCTTTATTGTTTGGACTGCACGCTCGGCGAGGCCATTAGAAGCAGCGTGGTACGGGGCAGTAGTCAAATGTCTAATTCCATTATTTCCATGAAATCTTTAAATTCTGCACTAGTAAAGGCCGGCCCATTGTCTGAATCGACCATTTCAGGTATCCCAAAAGTAGAAAACACGGTTCACAACTTGTTGATTTTAGTCAGTGAAGAACAAGAATTTGCTGTCGGTATCGCATCAATCCATGTAGTGTGCACGTCAACTACCGCCAAATCCATATCGCCTTGGAATGGTCCAAAATAATCGACGTGTACCCTCTTCCACGGCAAGTCGGGTCAGGTCAAATGCTTCAGAGCAACCTTCGGTAAGGTCTTCTGTGTTATTTGGCACACGTGACATGCTTTCACCACGTTGTCTATATCTGCGTCAATTTTGGGCCACCAAACATAACTGTGGGCAACAGCTTTCATTCCAGATGCACCAGAATGAGCATTATGCAGGTCGCTGAGGATGGCCCGTCGGTCTTGTGGTGGCACAACTACACGATTGCCCCACAGTATGCATCCGTCTTGTAGACTTAACTCGTTCTGGCGGCTGAAGAATAGTTGAAAATCAGAGGAGGTAGAGGACGGCCGGCCAGATTGTAAGGCACTTTTTACCCGACTTAGGAGAGGGTCTCTCGATCTCCACTGTCGAATTTGTTGGCAGGTTGCAGGTACGTTGACTAAGTTCTGCAAAAGATTCACGGTCTCAAAAACAGGTGCCCCGTCAATGCCATCGTTCACAATAGGAAGCCTACTCAAGGCGTCAGCCACTACGTTTGCACTACCTGCAACGCATTTCATTCCATATGTGAAAGCAGACAGAGTGAGTGCCCATTGTTGTATCCCCCGTTTTTCTCCCAGCAAAGTGGGGTTTGTGATCAGTGCGAATCTCGAAGGGTCCACCAAAAAGATACAGGTGGAGGCGATGTAGGCCAAACATTATTGCTAAGGCCTCTTTATCTAGTTGCGAATAGTTGGTTTCCGCCTGTGACATGGTTCTTGATGCAAAGGCAATCGGCATCTCCGAACCCGAAGGCATTCGATGCATGAGGACCACACCTACGCCGCACGAAGACACATCACATTTCAGTATGATAGGCTTTTCGGGGTCAAAGTGAACTAGGACAGATGAGGAGGTAAGAGCCGAATTTGCTTGTTCAAAAGCACTTTGTTCGACCTCCGACCGGTGCCAGCAACGATTATTTTCAAGTAGTCGATAAAGAGGCTTTGGAATTGTAGTTGATTGATTCATAAAGCGACTTAAGTGAGTGACCAACCCCAGGAATGAACGGACTTGCCTAGTATTGTTGGGTCGCGGCGCCGTCTTCAAGGCTTTGAGCTTATGTTCGAGTGGATGGAGGCCAGTTTTATCCACCCTGAAGTCCAGATATTCTACCGAGTCGGCAAGGAAAGTGTTCTTATCTTTCCTGGGTTTAAAACCTGCGTCCTCCAAACGTTGTAACACGATGTTTTGAGTCTCTAGATGACTATGTTCAGATGGGACGGTGACTAATATATCCTCAAGATATTCGAAAACGCAGGCATATACTTCACGAGGTTATCAATCGGGCATTTAAATAAATCGGGAGCCGAACTTACTCCAAACGGTAGTCTTTTATATCGGAATAAGCCCCGATGCGTATTGTTGGTGGTGGCGTCTCTGGATTCAGTGTCTGGGACGACTTGGTTGTATGCATGTTTTAGGGCCAAAGTTGTAAATTGATGACCACCCGAGAGAGATGCGCACAGATCCTCGATTCGCGGAAGAGGATAAGGGTTCAGACTAGTTGCTGAGTTGATTGTCAGCTTTAAGTCACCACAGATACTCACAGAACCATCGGTTTTAAGAACAGGAACTATTAGGGCTGCCCATTCCGAATATTGCACGTGCTCAATAATATCCGCTTTCTGTAGGCGATTCAGCTCTTCTTCGACCTTCGGTGCGACTGCATAGGGGACTGTACGAGCTTTGAAGTACCGGGGCCGGAAATCTGACTGAAACTGCAAGTTAACAGGCGGACCGCGGTAGTGGGTAGCAGAATCCTCACGAAATAGATCCTTATGATTTACCAAAATTGAATCTAAAGCCGGATTTACACCACTACTATGTACATAGGATAGCACAGAATACACACATTTAATCCAATTCCATCCTAGGAGATTTGGTTGCTGGCTTCCTCCCACCACATGAACGGGCAAGTAATGAAGTTCTCCATTATGTTTGACTTCAACTGTAAAGACCCTTCGAACCTCTACATTCTGTCGGTGTAACTGCGGAATATTGAGCTGGCCGGAAGGAGGGAGGGTAATTTCTGAAGGGAGGCCTCATTGATGAGAGTAACAGCTGAGCCAGTGTCGATTCCAAACTTCACGGGATGGTGATCAACCGGAAGCGTGATGGTGTAGGGCGATTGGAGTGGCGCGTTGGCCGAAAACATTTGGAGTATGGCCTCGCCATCCCCAGCTGGATTAGGCTAGGTTGCATGCGTGTTACTATTCGTCGTCTTTTGGAGGAACGCACTCGTTCGATGTGGCCGACTTTCTTACAAAACTGGCATACCGTCTTCTGGTGTTTACAGTCTGACCACCGGATATGATGCTGACCACAACGGTAGCAGGATGGTAGTTGTTTTAATGGAGCTGAGGGTCACTGTCTAGGTGAAGACACAGCAGCGTTGACTAAGAAGACAGCCATTTCAGATTCCAAGGATGCTATCACTCCATCGTTTGACTGATTTAGCTGCTGAAGGTTTTGTCGCACGCGCTCCCGATGACTGGCTATATCACAGGCTTTATCCCATGACAAATCCTTCTTCTCTGATAAGAGATTTTCCCGAGCCTTTTCATCGCGAAGACCGACGATCAACTGCTGAACGAGCATTGCGTGCTCAAAGTTGTCTGCCTTGATCTCTTTATACCCACAGTCCTGGATGGCCAGAGTCAGATTAGAAATAAAATCACTGACACATTGATTGGATTCTTGACGCATTTGACAAAACCGATAGCGACTGAGAAAGACGTTGTCTTTTCCTCCCCACGCTGACTCGAGTTTTGTGAAGGCTGTTTGGAGATCTATAGCCTTTTGTAGATTGAGGGCATCGAAATATCGTTGTCCCAAGTCTCCGAGATTCGTCTGGAGGAGTTTTAACTTAGATGGGACGTCTTGTACAATCGTGGGTGACAAAATCGGTAGTAGTTCAATATAATCCTCAAATGTCTTCTTCCATTACAAACACGAGTCACTTGGGGGCCTATTGGTGTTCGTTGGCCAGAAAGGTAACGGTGTAGGCGGCAATGAAGCCATGTTCGTTAGGCTGCGTCGCTAATGTTATGTATGCAGAACAGAAGATTCATTTGAAATAGGACGTGCACTGAGTACGATAAACAGCGCAAGTGAGGAGGCTTGTGGAAACGGCCGGTTATATGGCAAGGGGAACTGTCATAGGCTGATGGGTGGCCAATCAGCACAAAGAAGCTGTGAACAGCGGCCATGACCTTGATCGTTCGCTTGCCACGCGTTTGTGGCATGATGTCCAGACGGACCGGGCAGGATACGCTGCAGAGGGTATGACTGAACAGGAGACACACATGGATCGGGGTGAAAAGTAGTGGATCAAAAGAGCTATTAGTGATAGGAAAGTTGACTGACTTATATTTCGCAGTTGTGTTAAAACGTAATTACATTTAGAATACCCTTATATTCACCGGTTTTTGCCCACTGCCTCCGATCGGTCTACTTTAAACCACTGCCGGTCTACATTATGGAAGGGTCTAGCAGTCCGACAGGATTATCTAACCATGAACCGCGATCTTGGAATTCGTGACTGCGTATGTACAAGGCAGCTAGGTCAAAAGGTCAGACATCGTATGTTATGCCAGTCTCAGAAAATCATGGCCCTCGTGGCCTTTTTTTGCGCTGGCAATAGCCTGACACGTGGTTCCTGCCAGTAGATGTGCTTGCGCTGCCGCATGGTATAGATGTGGTGTGCATGGCTGCCCAGTCATTCTTGACGTCTATCTGACTAATTGTGGTGCTGTTTTAGTGAAAAATCCTGGTCAAGTGTATATTGTGTACCAAGAGGTGTGAAGGCACGCCGACGTGCGTGCCCGACCGTGTCAGCCACCTACGCCCTCCTCATCCTTGGTCTTTTTGACGCTGTCATGACACCGTGTTCAGGTGAAGGAATGGGGAAGATAGGGTGCTGTAGACGCTGCGAAAGTCTACTATTACTTTAAACTAATTCACGTGCAAGTAGCCGTTCCTGCTGCACCTAGTTGTGCACCACACGGTGGACATCGTCGGTATCAACGGTCAGACTGTCACAAGCCAGCTTTCCGAAATGCGTAAGTCACATGTAAGTCAGTTTAAGTCAGTTTATTAAGGGAATGAGGCTTTCGCCCTTGAGCACCCTATTAATGTCGATAAACAGAAATAAAGTCATCAATTACATCAGCAAATGCGAAACGTTAAGAAGTTAGCGGTAACTGTGAGGCAGGCGTAAACTGCCGCCGCTAAAACAATCATGATTGTATGTACAGTAGGTTCTCAACAAGTGAGCATCCAGTCTGCACTTAAAGGATTTAACACTTTCTGAAAGAACGACGGCATCAGGGAGTCCATTCCATGCCCCGATGACCCTGTGTGAGAAGGCGTTCCGTCGGACGTCCGAATGAGCCCGCTTCCTTTGCAGTTTGAACGGATGACCACGCAGACGGTCAGTCCGGGCCAATTCAAAGAAGTCATCAAAATCTAGGGCACACTCACGGCTTCTGACAATCCTGTAGGTTTGAATGAGATCGCCGCGCAGTTGCCTGTAATTTAGAGGAAACAGATTGAGTTCAGTCAGCCTGGTTTCGTAAGGCAAATGATGAAGATTCTTGACCATCTTCGTAGCCATCGCCTGTACTCTTTCCAGTCGTTAATAATCTTTCTTTAACCACGGCCGCCAGGCCTGGACTGCATACTCTAAGTGATACCGGACAAATGCCCCATAGGTTTTCCGAACAGCTCCTTGTCGATCTGCACAAATCCTCGCCTCAGCGCAAATAACACCCTTATCGCACTTTTGGCTGCCCTTTGACACTGTGAAGATGGTTTCAGCGAGGAGGTCATAAGGACTCCCAGGTCTTTCTGTTCCACAACATTTGAAAGGGACTGACCACCAAGGACATATTGAAAGGAATCGTCCTCCTTACTGTTCTGTCTGGTGCGGAGTCTCAGGACCACACATTTGTCCACATTAAAATTGAGGAGCCAGCGAGCTGATCAGCTGTTTAGGCGGTTGAGACTGTCTTGAAGCGCGTACCTGTCTGCATCAGATCTGATCGGTCTCCACAGCTTAACATCGTCAGCAAACATGATCGCGCTGCATCTCAGGTCGTCGACGCAGTCGTTAATGTAAACCAGGAATCGCAACGGCCCTAAGACGGAGCCCTGGGGTACACCACTTAAAACGGGAGTCGGAGTTGACCTTGAGGCCTCAACGCACACGGTTTGCGATCTCCCGGTAAGAAAATCTGTTATCCATGTCAGCAGCTTTCCTCTTATCCCAATTTCAGAAAGTTTGTAGATAAGGCGTTTGTGTGGGACGCTGTCGAACGCCTTCTTAAAGTCTGTGTATATGACATCAACCCTCCCATCCTCATCCAGTGCGCGAGTCCATTGCTCCGTCGAGAGCAATAAACTGGAAAGACACGAGCGGTTCTGTCTAAAGCCGTGCTGCAGGTCTGAGATTAAATGGCCCTGCTCCAGGAACTCCATAGTTGCTTTCTTAACTATGACCTCCATTATTTTACAGCAGATGCAGGTTAGACTAACAGGCCGGTAATTGTTAGCATTAGTGCGAGCCCCGCCCTTGTATATCGGAAAGATATTTGCTGTCTTCCATTCCGATGGCAACCTCCCTAATTCGAATGACGAGCGGAAGATGTGCGCCAGTGGTTTGGAAAGTTCATTCGCCAGTTCCTTCAAGAATTTGGCCGGTATATTGTCCGGACCCGAGGACTTTACTTCTTTGAGATTTTTCAGCTCCCTTTCCACGGCAGCTGCCGGGAAGAGTATGGAGTCAAGCACGGGACCAACAGTCTCAAGAGCATTGCCGGAACTGCGACAGCGAAACTCAGTTTCTCTAGTAAAAACGGAGGCAAAATACTGTCCTAAGTATTCGGCTTTCTCGTTGTTCTTAATGATCTCTACACCATTATCATCCTTCAGCACCGCGACCGGGTCCTTTTTTTCAGTCTACTGTTCAGATAGTGAAATAAAATCTTAGGCTTCTGTTCAGCCTGTCGTATAATTTTGGATTCATACTCCTTCCGTGCCTGACGGATACATTTTTTGACGGCGTTTCGTTGACGACGAAATTCTTCGAAATGCGCTGGTGACGCAGTTTCCCTGAATATTTTCCATCTTTTGCTTTTCTTCCGTAGCTGCTTATTTAGGTCCCTAGTTAACCAAGCTGGTCGACTAGTTATTTTTTGTACTTTAGGTGGACAAAAGCGCCTAATCAGATCGAGTGAAATCGATTTAAAAGATCTCCAGTCGTCCTACGGATCTCCCCTGAATATTTGGTCCCAAATCACGGACAGCAATTCGTTCTTCATCATATTAAAATCTGCCTTCCATATATTAGGCTGGCCCTCTGTTCTCTTCTGGCGTTTAGAGAAGAGCGAGTAATCCCATAATAGCGTGGTATGGTCACTTTTCCCGAGAGGTGCATTGGAATACACTTCGTCGATATTACAGAAGTCTTTAGTGAAAACTAGGTCTAGACAATTTGCTCTCTGGTTCTCTCGAAATCTTTCTGGTACCTTCACATGTTGCGCCAGAGGAAGATCGAGTGTGAGGTCCAGTAGCTTATTGCTGAAAGAGGCTGGTCCACCATTAACTGCCATATTTTCCCACTCTATTGCAGGTGCGTTGAAATCCCCAGCAATAAGTACGTCTTGGTGGCTAGCTACGTCTTTGACTAAACCAAGGAGCGACTCATCAGCTGCACTCAAAAGATTTGGTGGTCTGTAAATCGCCAGAAATTCTAGATTTTGTGCATTGCTCTTTTTTATCTTTATGCATACGGATTCATATTCAAGGGATAGGGTGTGGGCTCTTTCAACTGCTGAAATTCCTTCCCTTACATATACGACTACCCCTCCGCCCTGCCTATTTTGACGGTCTCTACGAAACAGCTGGTAACCCGGTATCGAAATCTTAGCATCCATGATTTCGACATTAAGCCAAGTTTCCGTTATGGCGATGACGTCGGGGATTTGTTCTGGTACTCTCGATTTGAGTTCGTCGATTTTGTAGCGCCGACTAAGATCTGTGAATTATGATTTTAAAACACTGACTGACTTGACACGCAGGAATTGTGAAGAACAAAAACTACAAATTAATCCCGTTCGCCAAAAGCGTTCTTACAGCAAAAGCTGTAATGCGAATATTGAATGCTGGCTCCCTCCACGCAGCTGACTTGAAATTTTGACTGTGCCACATTAACGAAATATTTATTGTTTCCAAGAAGGATCAGTTAGAATTATGCCATATTTAACCAAAACTACACTTTTCCAGGAAGATGGTTTGCCTGTAAAACAGGGGTTAGCAGGCAACTGCATTTCTGGATGGCCCTGTACACAGAAACACGGAGAGAGCGCCTCAGGCTTCAGTTTATTAAAAGGCTACATGCATTTTGGGAGCAGTCATCCTATCTCCCACAAAGCCGTCTCTGTTAGCAGTTAATTACTTGAAGCAATAATCCAGCGTTCCGATAAAGACATTTATTGAACAGAATTAAAGTAGATGACAATTGAATATGTGTCCCTACCCAGTCTTTACTCCCGCGAAATATCCACTCACTTCATTTGTGTAGGCTTAATTGGAAACCTCTCCTTCGGATCGTCCTACCCTTCACCTGCCTCAAATGCTATTAGCAAAGCTGTGCGTTAGGGTTAGGGTTTGAGTTTGGGGCTAGGTCTAAAGGTTACCGTCAGAGCAAGAGATTTAGCATGCTTTATCCTTGGTGTGATTGGTCCTCACCGGCTGGGATCCCTTGACCTCGAATATCTAAAAATATTGCCTCGGTTTTTACTTTTCCGCCCGTTCATAGCTCCTTTCTTCCAGTAGTTCAGAGCGCGCGTCGACTTTTTATGCCTTATCTGTGTATCTAAGTAAAGATAGTTACATAAGTAATTTTTTACTTCCAGAAAACAGTTGTTCGTCATTTTCGTTTGTCCCACCCACGAATTCAATATTACCGCCCCGGTATTAAAGGAATGCGTGTCTTGAAGAAGGAGAAGAGAAAGAAGAAGAAGAAGAAGAAGAAGAAGAAGAAGAAGACACGATCGCCGGGACAACAGATTTACTAGCCTGACGTTTCGTATTCCTGCCCGAATCTATTATCATGTTTTGTCAATAAGACCGCGTAGCCCGACGTCACAATAAAAGCTACTGTCATAGAATTGATGTCCTTATTACCCTGTCTGTCGATGCATGCTTCGGAACCAAATCAAGAGAAAAGATATTTCCATAGCTACGACCACACAGAAGTCAAAACCAACCGGCGACGTGATCCAATAGACGCTTCAGCTTAGATAAGGTCAGTCTCACACTAACATTAAAATTTGATTCTCAGAGGAGTTCGGTAGCCGTCTGGGACGTTTTGGCAGCCGTATTCAACATCAGCACTTCTTACTCTCTCATGTAGAAATGGGGCAGAAAAGGTGCCCTAAACAAATGAAGCGATCCCGCCATCTGCACGCAGACCGTGGGTCGCAGCTGGACAATTCTTGGTCGAAAGTATCAGGCAAACAACAACCCATGCACGTATCCGTCCGCCCCGGATGTCAGAGTGAGCCCACCTAGTGTGGCCGCCTGAAATTTTCTTTCCCATTTAGATAATCGAAGCAGCAGTCTGTCGGAAGGTAAAACGACGTCAGTCATGCGACAACGGGTAGATTACAAAGGGAGTAGCACTGCTCTCAGACAAAACCACTTCGCAGAACAGGACCAACTGGAGTAGGTATGTGTCGGCCGCACCTTCTAGAGCGGCCGCCAAAGTGCACGGAGGTGTGACACTTATGTCGTTTTCGTCATCTGGCGCGACATCGTGGGAAGACTGGCCTGTCCATCACAGGATGCAAACGACCGACACATGAGCTTGCGCCTGCCTCATCGGGCAGCCAAATTGGTCGCCGTCATCGCCAGTGTGCACACCCAGCTATCCCCAATTACCAACTCTGATGAAACAAAAAGCAAGTTGTATGGAGACTAAAATGTACCCCTGGAGAATGGGCCGAAGATGAACAAGTTTGCTGTCCGTAGTGATTTCAATGTCGGCGTCGGGACGGAATGGGGGACATGCAGGGAAGTGCTTTGTACGCACGGATTTAGCAGCTGCAACGACAACGGCCTCCATCTCCTGTAAAGCAGCATTAAAACATCGCCTTCTCCTTACCAATAACTTCTTCCGACCGTCAGCACATAAGACGGCGACCTGGACACAACCGCGCATCACGCGGCGATGGCAAGTGCTAGAATAAGCTCTCGTGTGGAGACCGGATCGACAGGACGTGAAGGTGACTAAAGTTATCTACGACGCCAGTGGGTGGACCGATCACCATCTCGTCGTCTTCACAGTGTGACTCTGTCTGCGAGGTGAGTGATCAACAGGTAGGTTAACTTTTGTTTGTTTAATGTCTCCGTCGAACGCTCACAATCCATTAATCCTTTAACCCAGAACGTGAAAGAACTGCCGACCTCGATCAACGACGCCACATCGTTGACACGACGGTGTGAACTGCGTAATGCTATTTACTCGACTGCCGGGGATGCTGTCAGAAGCGCCACTTGTCAGTACTAGGACTGGTTCGGCGACAACGATGCAGACATCGGCCAACTGGTCAATGAAAACCACAGGCTACACAACGCCTAGATGAATCAGCCGACCGAAGCCAACAAATCGACCATCTTTCGCTATCACCGTCTCACGCAGCAGCGACTGAGGGAGATGCGAAACGCCTGGATGACTCGCAACTTCCAGCAAATGAGGGTGTGCACCAACCGCAAATAAAACAAGAACTCCACATTACTGAACGCGGTCTGCAGCTCCACTGTCAAGGGGCCAGACTGTTTCTCAGATCCTGTGGAACCATATTTCTACCGGAGAAAACACAAATTCTAAAACGCAGGGCCAAGCTGTTAAGATGTGTCCTTGACAGACCATATATAATCTACGACGCTGCCATCGACCGACTTCCTCAATAGGAAACAAACGGCGAAAAGGATATGCCATCTCCTCTTCCAAAACCGTTTGGCGCCGTGAACCATTTCTCCAGCAGAAAGGCAGTGAGATCCGACTGGTTTCCGAAAGAATTCAGCAAGCACAGAGATCATCTGTTCCTGGAGCAACTTACAACGATATTTCAGGAGATGTGCCTCCATATTTCAGTATTTATACGATGTGACAACAGTTCATTTCCACAAACGGAAAAGAAACCGCGATTCTCTGTTAACCACACAGGCAATCGCTGTTCAAAATCGTTTGGAAGATGTTCGCTCGCAGAATTCTCGGCCGCCTGAACGGCCATCGCAAGCAAACACTACATCCCGAATGTAATTGTTGATCCTAACGACGCTGCGGAACCACCGACATGCTTTGGCCATCCACCAGCTGCAAGGAGGTGCCAAAAAACGCTGACACACTTCCACACTATATTCTGGCACTTAATGAAAGCCTTCAAGAAGGTAAATCGCGATGCAATATACAAAATCTGGCAGAAAATCGCCCGTATAGAACGATCAAGCGTTAGTACGTCAGCTCTATGAGGGGATTATGGCTCGCGTCGCGGACAAGGGTACCGTCACAGAAGCATCTGCAGTAATTACTGGAGTGCTGCTAATTAGCTTGCTTCCCCACAAGCATCTTCAGCCTCAAGTTTTCTACCATACTGAAGAACGTCTAAGGTAATGAGCGTCCCGGAAGCCACACTGTCTACAGGACTAATGGCCATCTTTTCAACAACCTGCACATACTGGTCTCAACGTGTCTCTTTAGGACTACAGTCCACGACCAACTTTTCGATGACGACTGCGGACTCAACACCGACACAGAAGCTTAAATTTAACGGAGGATGGAACCGTTTATCTTCGGTTGCGCCAAATTCGAGATGACCATTAACATTGACGAGATGGTGGTTATGCATCGGTCGTCACCCAACGCTGCATACAGTGATCCTCACATCCACCTCAACGGTATCCGACTGAAGACCATGGACGACTTCGCCTGCTTAGGCAGCCCATCCTCACGCTACATCAAAATCGAGGACGAATCGCCAAAGCCAACCGGGCACTTGGCCGGCTTCAGAACCCCACATGAATTTGCTACGGTCTGCAGCTGAACACCAAACCGAAGATGTATAAATTCGTCTGCCTAGCTTGAAGATCTGGACAATCTTCGTAAAACCACTGCGGAAACGCGATCAATTTCACCTTAGTTGTTTCTGCTGGATACAAATGCTGAGGTGGTAGTAAAGGGTGGCGGATAAAGAAGTTCTGGAACGTACTGGAATCCTCAGGATCTGTACCATGCTGAAACAACTTCACATGCGATGTAGCCACAAAAGAATCGACCGACGTGCAATAGAACAATATAGGCTGGAGCAACCAACTAGGAAGCCAAACAAACCGTCATTGTCAAAGCCGAAAGGGATGCTCGCAAGTCTCAGGCGTCCCAGACCCACAACGTCAGCCCTTAACTGCTTTGAACATGCCCGCGTTGTCAACGAACATTCCGTGCGCGGATTGGTTCCGTCGAACTTCTTAGAATGCAATGCACCTTCCCGAGAGTCCCAATTACTACCTCTCCAACCGCGCCTTCTCAAATCCCACAGGGTCCACTACGATGACCGCCCTCTCTGCCAATGCTCAGCACCCCTGTACCCAACCGTCGTCGGTCACCACCATCTCTATCATCCCTGTCATAGCACTCTCACATCTCTTTTCATCAGCACCTACAATGCACGTGACCACCCCAACGCCGTACAACACACTTGTCGTATAGGTGTGAAGTGTGTTCTTTGGCACCTTCTCCATGTAGCTCAATTGCCACACTTGTAATCCGGGCCTGACTTTACCACGGTGCGCTGAGTGAATTGGCTTACAATGTTGCCAACTGACGATCGAACTCGGACTTGGCAGTCAGCCTGGTGAGTGTTTGTTCGGAGCTCAGTTCAGTGTAATTTATAGGAAGTTAGGCGAACGCTTTTGAACTCTCCGTCGGTTGCAAATAGTCTGGGAAAAGGCACTAGAAAGCGAAAAACTGAAGAAGGTATTGTTAACATAATTGCACGCGGAACGCAAACAGCTTTCCGTTTTTCAAAGACCGTGTACACAAACGTCTACTCGCTTACTGCAAGTAACATAGACGTATGTAAGTTCGACGATTGGTTATGAGGCTGTGCGCTTGGCTGGTAATTGGGAAGCTTGATGCGCATCGAGTCTACACTTAAATGAATTCACACAGGAAGACAATACAACACCAGCAGGAAGGGTGTTTAACATCCTAATCACCCTGCTACTGTAAAAAGACTTACGTCAAGGTATCCTTGTTTACCTTGTTTACCTCAGCATCTGTCCCATGCTGAAACAACTGTTACTGCGCTGTAGCCACAAGAGAATCGACCGAAGTGACATAAAACAATAAAGTTTGGAGCAGCCAACTAGGAAGCCAAACTGACCGTTATTTTTAAAGCCGAAATGGAAGCTCGCCTAACTTCCTATTAATTAAACTGTACTGAGCTCCGAACAAACACTTATTATGCTGAGTGCCAAGTCCGAGTTCGATCGTCAGTTGGCAACATTCTAAGCCACTGCACTCAGCTTACCGTGGTAACGTCAGGCCCGGACTACAAGTGCGGCAAACGAGCCACACAGAGAAGGGGATAAGGAACAAACTTCACACATATACGACAAGTTTTAATCACAAGCTTGTGTTGTACGGCGTTGGGGGTGGTCACGTGTATTGTGGACGCTGATGAGAAGAGATGTCATGGTGTGGTTTAAACATAAATCTCCTACCATAGGTCTTCAGGAAGCCACATGTGGCCTAATGGGCTCATGTGGTGGTTGAATGTGTGAGGATAGTGCGAGCAATCAAGGCGATGATGCCTGATGCATGCCGGTGCTCCAGGATTCGTAAGTCAGTCTCTGTGCCACATGGCATGGATCTCCCATGCATTACAGTACCAGAGGCTACGACGAGAAGGGCCTATCGCAGCCAGACTAAGACCACCAGTCGGCAAGGTTTTTCCCACCTACTGTCAAGAACGAAAATGGTGGTGTTAATGGGGAAGCTGGTGGCGGTGGGCGGGCCGTCGGAAGAGTTTTGTTCGGTGATTGGATTGGAAACTGTGCTGGTCGCCTTAGTCGCCGCCGCCGCGGAGGTTATGGCAGGGATGATGGAGATGGTGGTGACCGACAGCGGTGGGGCACGGTGGTACTGAACATCTGCAGTGAGGGCGGTCGTCGCAGTGCACGCTGTGGGATTTGAGAAGGCGCGGTTGGCATAGTAGTGATTGGGACTCTCGGGATGGCGCATTGAATTCTGAGATGTTCGACGGGGCCAATGCGCGCATGGAATGTTCGTTGATAACGCGGGCATGTTTGTAGTATTTAAGGGCAGACATTGCGGGTCTGGAACGCCTGAGACTTGCGAGCTTCCCTTTCGGCTTTGACAATAACGGTCAATTTGGCTTCCTAGTTGGCTGCTCCAACCTATATTGTTCTATAGCAACTCGGTCGATTCTCTTGTGGCTACATCGCAGTTACAGTTTTTTCAGCATGGGACGGATGCTGAAGATTCCAGTATATTCCAGAACATCTCTATCCGCGACCCTGTCCTGCCACCTCAGAATTTGTATCGGCAGATACAACTAAGGTGAAATTGATCGAGTTTCCGCGATGGTTTTACGTAGATTGTCCAGATCTTTAAGCTATGCAGACGAATTTATACATCTTCAGTTTGGTGTTTAGCTGGAGACCGTAGAAAATTCATATGGGGTTCTGAAGCCGGCCAAGGGCTTGGTTTGCTTTGGCGATTCGTCCTCGATTTTGATGTAGCGTGAGGAGTGGCTGCATAAATAGGCGAAGTCGTCCATGGCCTTCAGTCGGATACCGTTGAGGTGGATATGAGGATCACTGTATGCAGCATTGGATGACGACTGGTGCATAGCCATCATGTCGTCCGTGTTGATGTTCAGTTCGAAGTTGGCGCAACCGGAGATAAATGGTTTCATCCTCCGTTGCATATAAGCTTCTGTGTCGGTGATGAGTGCGCAGTCGTCAGCGAAATGTAGGTTGTGAACTGCAGTCCTAAAGAGACGCGTTGGCATCAGTATTCGCAGGTTGTTGTGAAGATGGCCATCAGTCCTGTGGAGAATGTGGCTTTCGGGACGCTCATCACGGTAGACGTCCTTCAGCATGGTAGAAAACGTGAGGCTGAAGAAGCTTGTGGGGAAGCAAGCTACTCAGCATCACTCTATTAATTACTGCAGGTGCTTTTGTGACGGTCCCCTTGTCCGCGACGAGAACCATAATCCCCTCATAGAGCTGACGTTCTAATGCTTGATCGTTCAATACAGGCGAATTTCTGCCAGATTTTTTTATAATTCATCGCGATCCACCTTGTTGAAGTCATGCAGCTGGTGTTAGACCAAAGTATGTGGTTGGTTCCGCAGAGGTGTCAAGTACCACAATGACATGCGAAATGAAGTCTTTGCTCGCGATGGCCGTTTAGGCGACCGAGGATTCTGCGAGCGAACATCTTCCAGACGATATTGAACAGCGGGATGCCTGTGTGCTTATCGCAGAGTTGCTGGTTTCTTTTCCGTTAGTAGAAATGAACTGTTGTCTCATCATATAAATACTGATATACGGAGCCATATCTCTTGTAATATCGTCGTAAAATGCTCCAGCAACAGGTGGCCTCTGCGCATGCAGAAGTCTTCCGGAAACCAATCGGATATTACTGCTTTTCTGCTAGACAATTGATTCACGGCGCAAACGGTTTGTGAAGAGGAGGTGGCATATCTTTTTCGCCGTTTGTTTCCAATTGAGGAAGTCGGTCGATGGCGGCGTCGTAGATTATATATTGGCTCTTAAGAGCACATCTTAACAGCTTGGCCCAGCGTTTCAGAATTTGTGTTTTCTCCGGTAGAAATATGGTTCCACAGGATCTGAGAAACAGCACGGTCCCTTTGACAGTGGGGCTGCAGACCGCGTTCAGTAATGTGGAGTTCTTGTTTTATTTGCGGTTGGTGCACACCCTCATTTACTGGAACTTGCGAGTCATCCAGGCGTTTCGCATCTGCCTCAGTCGCTGCTGCATGAGACGGTGATAGCGGAAGATGGTCGCTGTGTTGGCTTCGGTCGGCTGATTCATCTAGGCGTTGTGTAGCCTGTGGTTTTCATTGACCAATTGGCTGATGTCTGCATCGTTGTCGCCGAACCAGTCCTAGTACTGACAAGTGGCGCTTCTGAGAGCATCCCCGGCAGTCGAGCGAATAGCATTACGCAGTTCACACCGTCGTGTCAGCGATGTGGCGCCGTTGATCGAGGTCGGCAGTTCTTTCACGTACTGGGTTAAATGATTAATGGATTTTGAGCGTTCGACGGAGAAATTAAACAAACAAAAGTTAACCTACCTGTTGATCACTCACCTCGCAGACAGAGTCACACTGTGAAGACGACGAGATGGTGATCGGTCCACCCACTGGCGTCGTAGATAACTTTAGTCACCTTCACGTCCTGTCGATCCGGTCTCCACACGAGAGCTTATTCTAGCACTTGCCATTGCCGCGTGAATCGGCGTTGTGTCCGGGTCGCCGTCTTATGTGCTGACGGTCGGAAGAAGTTATTGGCAAGGAGAAGGCGATGTTTTAATGCTGCTTTACAGAAGATGGAGGCCGTTGTCGTTGCAGCTGCTAAATCCGTGTGTACCCAGCACTTCCCTGCATGTCCCCCAGTCTGTCCCGACGCAGGCATTTTAATCACTACGGACAGCCAACTTGTCCATCTTCGGCACATTATCCAGGAGTAGATTTTGGTCTTCATACAACTTGCTTTTCGTTTCATCAGAGTTGGTAATTGGGGATAGCTGGGTGTGCACACTGGCGATGATGTCGTCAAAGTTGGCTGCCCGATGAGGCAGGCACAAGCTCATTTGTCGGTCGTTTGCGTCCTGTGATGGACAGTCCAGTAGTCCCACGATGTCGTGCCTGATGACAAAAACGACATCAATGTCACACCTCCGTGCACTTTGGCGGCCGCTCTAGAAGGTGCGGCCGACACATACCTACTCCAGTTGGTCCTGTTCTGCGAAGCGGTTCTCTCCGAGAGCAGTGCTACTCACTTTGTAATATACCCGTTGTCGCATGACTGACGTTTTTTTTCCTTCCGACAGACTGCTGCTTCGATTATCTAAATGGGAAAGAAAATTTCAGGCGGCCACACTAGGTGGGCTCACTCTGACATCCGGGGCGGACGGATACGTGCATGGGTTGTTGTTTGCTTGATTCTTTCGACCGCGAATTGTCCATCTGCGACCCACGGTCTGCGTGCAGATGACGTGATCGTTTCATTTGTTTAGGGCACCTTTTCTGCCCTATTTCTACACGAGAGCGTTAGAAGGGCTGATGTTGAATACGGCTGTTAAAACATCCCAGACGGCTGCCGAACTCCTCTAAGGATCAGATTTTAATGTTAGTGGGAGACTGACCTTATCTAAGCTGGGTCGCCTATTGGATTACGTCGCCGGTTGATTTTGACGTCTGTGTGGTCGTAGCTGTCAGTCAGTTTAAGTCAGTTTATTAAGGGAATGAGGCTTTCGCCCTTGAGCTCCCTAGCCACATCGATAAACAGAAATAAAGTCATCAATTACATTAGCAAAGGCGGTAAGGGTGAGCCAGGCGCAAACTGCCGCCGCTAAAACAATCGTTATTATATGTAGAGTAGTTTCTCAACAAATGAGCATCTAGTCTGCACATAAAGGATTCGACACTTTCGGAAAGAACGACGGCATCAGGGAGTCCGTTCCATACCCCAATGACCCTGTGTGAGAAGGCGTTTCGTCGGACGTCCGAATGAGCCAGCTTCCTCTGCCTTTTGAAGGGATGACCACGCAGACGGTCAGTCCCGGCCAATGCGAAGAATTCATCAAAGTCTAGGGCACACTCACGGCCTCCGAAAATTCTGTAAGCTTGAATGAGATCGCCGCGCAGTTGCCTGTAATTTAGAGGAAACAGATTTAGTTCGGTCAGCCTGGTTTCGTAAGGCAAATGATGAAGATTCTTGACCATCATCGTAGCCATCGCCTGTACTCTTTCCAGTCGTTGAAAATCTTTCTTCAACCACGGTCGCAAGGCCTGGACGGCATACTCTATGTGATACCGGACAAATGCCCCATAGGCTTTCCGAACAGCTCTTTATCGATTTGCACAAATCCTCGTTTCAGCGTAAATAACACCCTTATCGCACTTTTGGCTGCCCTTTGACACTGTGATGATGGTTTGAACGAGGAGGTCATTAGGACGCCCAGGTCTTTCTGTTCCACAACATTTGAAAGAGGCTGACCACCAAGGACGTATTGAAAGGAATCGTCCTCCTCACTGGTCTTTTTGATGCGGAGACTAAGGACCAAACATTTGTCCACATTAAAATTAGGGAGCCAAAGAGCTCACCAACTGTTCAGGCGGTGGAGACTGTCTTGAAGCGCGTACCTGTCTGCGTCAGATCTGATGGGTGTCCACAGCTTAACATCGTCAGCAAACATGACGGCGTTGCATCGCAGGTCGTCGACGCAGTCGTTAATGTAAACAAAGACTAGTAACGACCCTAAGACGGAGCCCTGGGGTACACCACTTAGAACGGGGGTAGGAGTTGACCTTGAGGCCTCAATGCACACGGTTTGCGATCTCCCGGTAAGAAAATCTGCAATCCATGTCAGCAGCCTTCCTCTTATCCCAATTTCAGGAAGTATGTAGATTAGGCGTTCGTTCGGGACGCTGTCGAACGCCTTCTTAAAGTCTGTGTAGATGACATCGGCCATACCATCTTCGTCCAGTGCGCGAGCCCATTGCTCCGTCGAGAGCAATAAACTGGAAAGGCACGAGCGGTTCTGTCTGAAGCCGTGATGCAGGTCTGAGAGTAAATGGCCCTGTTCCAGGAACTTCATTGTTGCTTTCTTAACTATGGCCTCCATTCTTTTACAGCAGATACAAGTTAGACTAACAGGCCGATAATTGTTAGCATTATTGCGAGCCCCGCCGTTGTATATCGGAAAGATATTTGCTGTCTTCCATTCCGATGGCAGCCTTCCTAATTCGAATGACGAGCGGAAAATGTGCGCCAGTGGTTTGGAGAGTTCATTCGCCAATTTTTTCAAGAATTTGGCCGGTATATTGTCCGGACCCGAGGACTTTGCTTCTTTGAGATTTTTCAGCTCCCTTACCACGACAGCTGTCGGGAAGAGTATGGGGTCAAGTAGGGGACCAACAGTCTCAACAGCATTGCTGGCACTGCGATTGCGAAACTCTGTTTCTCTGGTAAAAACCGAGGCAAAATACTGTCCTAAGTGTTCAGCTTTCTCGCTGTTCTCAATTATCTCTACACCATTATCATCCTTCTGCACCGCGACCGGGTCCTTATTATTCAGTCTACTGTTAAAATAGTGAAATAAAATCTTGGGCTTCTGTTCAGCCTGTCGGATAATTTTGGATTCATATTCCTTCCGTGCTCGACGGATACATTTTTTGACGGCGTTTCGTTGACCACGAAATTCTTCGAAATGCGCTGGTGATGCAGTTTCCATGAATATTTTCCATCTTTCACTTTTCTTCCGTAGCTGCCTTTTTAAGTCCCTAGTTAACCAAGCAGGTCGACTAGTTGTTTTTTGTACTTAAGGTGGGCGACAGCGCCTAATCAGATCGAGTGAAATCGTCTTAAAATATCGTCAGTCATCCTCCGGATCTCCCCTGAGTAATTGATCCCAATTCACGGACAGTAATTCGTTCTTCCTCGCATTAAAATCTGCCTTCCATATATTAGGTTGGCCCTTTGTTCTCTTCTGGCGTTGAGAGAAGAGCGGGTAATCCCATAGTAGCGCAGTATGGTCACTTTTCCCAAGAGGTGCATTCGAATACACTTCGTCCATATTAGAGAAGTCTTTAGTGAAAACTAGGTCTAGAAAATTCGATCTCTGGTTTTCTCGAAACCCTTTTTGGCACCTTCACATGTTGCGCCAGAGGGAGATCGAGTGTGCGGTCCAGTAGCTTATTGCTCAAACAGGCTGGCACACCGTTAACTGACATAGTTTCCCACTCTATTGCAGGTGCGTTGAAAGCCCCAGCAATAAGTACCTCTTGGTGGCTAGCTACGTTTTTGACGGTCTTTGGAGCGGTCCAGTGCCTTTCTCCTCAATCGCATT